TAAAGTTTCTTGAACACAATTTGCTTTTAATAAAGACAACTTTCTTTATTGATTTGTTTAGNAAACTCTCTCAAAACCTAAACATAAAGCTATGTTCTTCTTCTTCGATTGCCACATCTCGACAACTCTATTTATAGCTTTAGATCCTAATCCTATACATAATAGAAAACTTCCTATTCCTATTCTTAATAGAATTANTAATAATCCGTTGAGTCTTTCTTAGCATTAACCGACTTGTTAATGATTTCTTAGACTCCAAGTAAGTGAAGCTTATCCAACACACGGTGGCATATTTTAATCTTGGTTAAAAAAAAAAAAATTTGATCACTCATTGTACACGAATTAAGATATTTCGAAACAAAATATATTTTTTAAAAAATTCACGAAACAGATGCTATTTGGTAAGTATCACAAATAAAACCATACCAGCAAGCTAAAGATCTAAATAATTTTTCTATCTATTATAAAATATCAAACGTACTTGAATTTGTTGACGTATTTTTTATATATAGAAAACGAATATTATACTTATCAAATGGTTTTTCGAAGTGGTTGGTCTGTTTGCCAGCAAAAGAATGACCAAAAAGCAATGGTTAGCAGAATAAATTTGACTTCGTCTAAGGGTCCGAAGTTTCCAAGGCTAATTGATTGCAACTACCATACACTTATATTTGTTCCATCTACTACAGACAGGAAACAAAATTAATTAAATCTTTTAAAAGGAAATGATGAAATGTCCAATAATTAGTATAAAATTTATGTAACTAATTATATCAGAAAATAATTGGAAAAGATCTCGAAATCTCGAAAGCTAGTTGAAACCATGGTTTGAGTTTAGGTACATAATTTTTAGGGTGATTTGCAACAATAACCGAAAAAAAAAATTATATTTGCAATCTAATGAAAATAGTATGATGTAGAGAAATATGAGCCATTAGATTAGGATGATTTAGTTAGTTAGTGAAATATAATTTTTTTTTAGGTTATTTTAGCCAATTTCTCTAATTTTTAACTATGGTAAGAAATACAAAACAATTTAGCCAGAAAAAAAAAAAA